TTTAGGATCTTTCTCCTTAGGAGTTTCTCTTTGCTCTTTTACCCTTCTTTCTCTTTGCTTCTCTAATTTTTTTTTTTCTCCCTTTGTCGATCAAATCAATCAAAACATATAAAAAAAATTATTTTCCATGTTTCCCTTCTTTTACTTCCCTAAATTTTCTCATTCTATTGATCAAATCAATCAATAAAAAAAATTTTATTCCCTTAGTGGCTAGCTTTGGAGTGCAAGGCTTCTTGGAAGCATGTGCTTGTTAGAGGTAGGTAAAGGGTGGTGGATGAGTTATGGGTAATGCTTAAGGTAGTGCTTGTCTTGTTCTCGAGCGAGTGGTGTGCGACTTGAGTTATGGTTGAGCTTCAAGCCAAGGTGGTTAGTAGCATAGAACGGTGGTGGTGAAGGCTAAATAGTGCAACTCTATTCAAAGAGGAAGTGTGGAATTTGCTTGAATGGCAACCATGGTCTTTGGTCTACAATTTGGCTAAGGAACTCTATGGAAAAAATCGAAAAGGGATTGGCAGAAAGAGGATCTTCTAAAAACAACTTTATGTCTTTGATGATTTTTTGTGTTGTTTGTGAGTTTGTGGTACATGGGTTCTTTGGTTCTTGTATAGGTGCCATTGGTGGTTCTTATGTTTGTTGGCTAGAGGTTGATGGGGTGTTATAAAGAATTAGAAGGCTCTTAGATGATGACTTTTGTCTTGTAGGTATTGGATAAGACTACCACTTTTTTGTTTAATTACACTTCTATAAGTATGGGTTTAAGGTCAATGACCTTGGACACTCCAATTAGGTTCTAAGATCGGCCATTGCCTCAGACTAGATATGATTGAGGTCAAAACAACTTGATGGCCGAAGTCAAAATCATCCTTTGTTTTAGTTGCATGATAAGTACGGTGAGATTGTACATAACTAATCTCTATTCCTAGATGTTCATTTTATCAGTCACATCATGTTTCGATTATTTTATCAAGAAAACTACGTGAATATCTTCTCAAAACTTATAAATACTCCCTGAGAGCCACGTGCCATAGGTACTAAACATTGACCTAAAAGCTTTCTTCTCACCAAAATATTGCTTTACAGGTCAAAAAGCTCTGAGGACTGAACTCAAAAAAGACTTTGAGGTTTTTTGAAATTATAATTTCCTAACTTTTAGCTTGCAACTACTTATAAAAAAAATACTCGATGTAGCAGTTTTTCTTGGAATGCATGACAATGTTTTCAGTGACTTATAAATTAGCCAGTTCTTGTAGGTAATGAGTAAGGGTTGTCACTTTTGGGTTTAATTATTCTCCCCAACTTTTAGCGTGCAACTACTTGAAAAAATAGAGTACTCAATATGGTAGTTTTGCTGGGAATACATGACAATGTTTTATTGACTTAAAAGGCTCTCTGTAATTTAGACTTATATGCCATTAGCACATTCTCGCATATTGGGGTCATAGTTTTTTTGCTTCTTTGCATATAGGGCGCTGGTCATAGATTTGATGTCCTCATTTCGGTAATTAATAAAACAAAAATCATTTATCAATAGAAAATAAGAAAAAGAAAACAAAGAGCAAGGGTATATATCATATTTTTAGTCCACAACCTTTACTATAAATATTAGATATTATCTTAACCTTTTATTTGAACCAAAAATAGTCCCAAACTTTTTAAAATACCAAACCCAATTCTACCATTAGTCACTTCCACTAAATTCCTAATGAAAATCCTAGATAGAATTTGAGAAGCTACCAAAACCCTTAAAAAAAGAAAAAAAAAAACTCCAAATCATTTCCTTCCTAACAGTAAACATATATTTTATTTTCTTTTAATATCATTTTAACCCTATATTTTTTTTTTCTTTTGAGAAACTCCAAGTATCATGTTTCATTTTTTTGCCTTCTACTTAATGCAAAGCCCCTATTTCAATTTTAAAAACTTTTCACATAACTTAATAATTGAAAAAAATAATAAATTTCACATTCCAAATACTTTTGAACTACAGTTTGTTTGCCATCCAAATTATTGTTTTATAAAATACATCAAAAAATATAAAATAGAAATTCATCTCAAATTATGGAATTGTAACTCCTAACCTTTATCTATAAAGCAAAGAAAAGAAAATTTCCAAACATTTTTCAAAAAAAGAGATGATTTGGAGAATCTAAAATTTAACAAAAATAATTGTAGAACAATGAAAATTAAAAGAAAATTTGTTGAAAATTTATATTAGACCACCTAAAATTCTAATTAAGATTTCTATTAAGAACTTAAAGAAAGTAACTAATGGTAAGATTAAATTGATTTGTTCCGTAAAGGCATTAAATGGATCCCTAGGAATGGAATCATTATTAGCCTTTAAGAGGATTGCTCTGCAGGGGAGTCTCCTCTTTCTTCCACATTTTTTTGGTCCCCATCAGATTAATCATGGTTTCATCTCTGTTTTTTTTTTTTTTTACAAAGATAATAATTAAGAGTTAAGAGTTAAAAATTAATACTTTATTCTTTAATAAAATTTAATTACTGATCAGGTGCATTTCACCAATAACTTTTTTGAACTGCACTGACACCACCACTGGTCACAACAGAAAAATGCATGGTTTCATCTCTGTTGTTGATTGTTTACAGGCTGGACCTATGCTCCTAACCTGATTGGTTATCAACTCTCTAGGGAAATCAATACATCTATTGCCTCTATGCCCTTTTTCATTTCTCAAAATAAGCGAGGATACTTTTGCTTCGAAAGATTCCCCCAAAGATGAATTTTCTACCTCTGCAGCTTATGCACTCTGCAAGAGGATTTCTTATTTAGAGATGAACAAATGTAATTGGATTTGGCAATCCCCTACAATCCCAAAAGTCCAATTAGGGCTGGGCATTTGGGCGGTTACCCGAATTGGTAACCGATAACCGAAAAAAAATGTTAAGTTCAGGTAGTAGCAATCGGTTTTCGACATTTTTATCTTGG